GTTCACATTTTGTTTATGCATCAGAATACTACAATCTTTTTCGATCATAAATAATCTTTAAAACTAAACAAATAAATAACATATTTTCAAATTTTTAAAAAAAAACTGATAAAATATTTTATTTATAATATTTTTCTGTGGACTTATTATCATCAATATTGTTATTGTTTTGTGATATTAAAATATTATGTTATTAGCTCTAAACACGACTAAGGTCTAAGGTATATGTAAATTCTTAATCCGTGGCTCTAATTTCTAAATACGGGTATAGATAATATGATTGCGAAACGGCCTATACGAAAAATAAAAAGTTTTCTTATACATAGGTATAAATATAAAAATCATAATAATTATTTCATTTTAAAACACAATTCTTAGGAGGAATGCGTTATTCTAGACAAAATAAGTAGAGGGATGAAAAATGTAAATACAAAAAAGTAGAGGAATGTCATCCCTCCGTATCCCCCCCCCCACTTCGACCACTGGGTATAAGACATATTATATACATATCTATGGTACTAAACCAAAATTTGACCTATAATAAATTCCAAATTAATCATATCACAATATGCTTTTGCTTTTGCACTTTTACTGTCCTAAAACGTGATGACAGACACAAAAAATAAAAAAAAAAACACACACATCATTGTAGAATCAATACATTCATCGTTTCACTCAGAATCTAAAATTACAACAAAATAACTAAAATCGTTATTCTTGGTTATTTAATATGTAATTTCCTCAAAATTTCAACATCAAATAACTATAGTTTTATATTTTTGAGATTTTTTTTATTACAGAATAACCTACTTACGTGGAACCTTGTTGTAAGTTTTTAATCCTTAGCTATAAAAGTTGAACATTTTATACATTTTTTACTACAAAATCATTTTAAAATTTAAAATTTGATAAATGTTGTCTAAAATCAAACATTAAATGCTTATAAAAAAAAATTGTGATAATGTATTTTTATCCTGCTATTTGACTATTTGAGTAATATATCAGGAGTCTTGTAATACATTTTGACACTTTTTGGCACGACTAATACAATTTTGTTGAAATTTATATAAAAAAAATTTTAATTTTAAATTGCTCGTAAACATCTCACAACAGGTCAAAATATTTTGAACATTTTATCAAGTACAGGAATTCATAAAATAAACATATCATCTAAATTTCAAGAATCTACAGTAGTTCGTTTTTGAATTTTGCAACAAAATAAGAAAATCGAGACATACATGAGAAGTAGAGTGAATATCCAATGTTGTAAAAAATATGAACTTCAAACGCTCATAAAAACTTAATTTGATTTGCTTGTAGACATTTTGTTTTTGATAAAGGTAGGCAAACTTATGAGGAATCTTGTATTACATTTTAAAAACTTAAGACTTAAAAAGAAAAATTTTTAGGAATTTTTACTCAAAATAATTTGCACATTTTCGTGATTGTAAAAGCCTTTTGTCAAAATTCAAACTTTAATTGTTACAAAAAAAAATAATGACTGGATTTTTAATATTTTACAAATGTCAGTAAGCAGTTCAAAACAAGTCAATATTTTTTGAAAATTTTATCGTGTATATATACTATATACAATGATAGCCGATAGGTAATATAAACAACCAGTGAAAATCGCATGTATCTACGGTAATTTGTTTTAGAGCTATACAAAAACAAAATTCCCGTTTACCTTAATTGTTCTTTTATTTTTCGAAAATATACTGTTGAAGAAAATCTAAGCATTTTTATTGTCCTAAAAGCTGATGACGGATACAAAAAAAAATTTTAAAATTAAAAAAAACACATCATTGTAAAATCAATACGCATTCATCGCTCCACTCAGAATCTAAAATGAGAATTTTTTAGCAAAGCAAATTTTCAACAAAATCGATTAATAATAATAAAACAATAACCGGAGATTTATAAATTGTCTTACCGAATATCTAATGGCAAAATATTTTGATTCTCTTTGAACTGTTGATAGCTAGGTATATAAGCAATTTTTTTTAACTGCTGTCTGCTGTCAGTAAAAAAATTTTTGGTAGGTCAATAAACTTGAAAATAAAATAGGTACACTTTCGCATAGGTAATTTGTTAATAGTGAAATTAAAAAAGTGGATGTCGCTCTGCTGTACTGTAGGTTACAAGTGGGTCATGGTATAATGGATGGTATTAAATTTGAATTCAATGATATAATATCATTGTATAAGAAAAACGATTCTGAGTGGAGACGGTATGTCAATCTAGGTATAAGACATATAGTATATTATATACTTATCGATGGTATTAAAAAAAAAATTGACCTATAATAGATACCTATAATAAATTCCAAATTAATCATATCACAATTTCCATTAGGTATCATATATGATATAATATCCCCGAATACTATTTTTAAATTACAACGAAAAACCAAGATCGTTAATATTGATTTTAATATGTAATTTCGTCCAAATTTGGATTTAAAATGTCTGTAAAAAATAACTGTGTTCATATATTTTTTAGATTTTTGGGTTACAGTATGAACTATTTATGAGAACTTTTGTTTTAAATTTTCAATCCTTAGCTATAAAAACTGAACATTTTATAATTTATTAATTACGATGATTAATAATTTTCGAGATTTTGAAAAATTCTGTCAAAATTCGATGTTAAAATGCTTATAAAAAAAAATTGTGCCTATGTATTTTTAATATTTTTCAACTGATATTGTAACAATATATCAGGAGCCTTGTATTAAATTTTTACACTTTTTGGCCCAACAGATAAAACTTAATTGATATTTATAGAAAAAAAAAACTAAAAAAATTGAAAACTGAAAATGTCCGTAAACGGCTCAAAAAGAGTCAAAATATTTTCAAAATTGTATGGTGTATAGGAAATGCTAATATAAACATTCAGTGAAATTTTCATGTATTTACAGTAATTCGTTTTTTAATTACAACAAAAAAAGGAAATTGCCACATGAGAAATCGAATATCCAATGTTGTAAAAATTTGAATTTCAAACGCTCATAAAAATTTAATTTGACTTTCCGGTAGAGATTTTTTTATTGATAAAGGTAGACAATCTTATGAGTAATCTTGTATTAGATTTTCAAATCTTAGATTTAAAAAGAAAAATTTTTACGAATTCTTAACTCAAAATAATTTGCTAATTTTCGTGATTTTTCCATATTTTGTCAATTTTTGAACTTTAAATGCTTATAAAAAAAAATTGTGACTAAGGATTTTTAATATTTTTCATCTGCCTTTAAAACAATATATTAGGAGCCTTCTATTAAATTTTCAAGCTTTCGCAACCAACAAATAAAATTTTATTGATATTTCTAGAAAAAAAACTAAAAAAAAACGAAAAATGAAAATGTCCCTAAACAGTTCAAAATAAATCAAAATATTTTGAAAATGTTATCGTGTATAGAAAATGCAAATATAAACAACCAGTGAAAATTTCATGTATATACGTTCATTTGTTTTAGAGTTACACCAATAACCAAAATCGATTTTTTGGAAAATCAATTTTGCGTAAAAATTCCCGTTTTTCCTTAATTTTTATGTTGTTTTTCCCGGCGTTTGTGAAAACTACTGGGAAATTTAAATTTTGACCTCCCCAATGCACCAACGATATTCACTTTCCAATCGAACAATATACTGAAGTCGAAAATCGAAGCATTATTTCGACTACTTATCGTGTACACAGATACAAAAAAAATAAAAAAAATAAAAAAACACACATCATTGTAAAATCAATACATTCATCGTTTCACTCAGAATCTAAAAAAATTTAGCGTATGTCCACAATCATTTTTTAAGACTGTCTGAAGTTAGAATTTTTACGGAATTCATCAGTCTCGAAAATTTGCAAATTAATTTTCTGTTAGAAATTAATAAAACATTTTCAAATGTAAGTGATGAAAAGAAAATGTCGACAAATTGTAAATTATATTTTAGTTAAAAATGTATAAAATGATAATTTTTTTAGTTAAAGATTAAAAAATTAAAACATAGTTATTCATAAGTAGTTGATATTGTAACCCAAATATCTAAGTCTAGCACATTCAAATTTACTTCTCGTTGTTGTAAAAAATGCAGAAAGCAGTCAAAGTAATTTGAGTGTTAATCCTGTTAACACGTTCGCTGCGTAAAACGTCAATTGGTGACATTGTACATAGTTCGCATATGCTGAATGACGCCAATTGGTGTCATGTTACCTTGTTATTTAATGGACTATAATTTGGTCAGCGTTACGATTAAACTTTTAGTTTTTTTTCAGCGTCTTCTATAAGCATTGTTTCATAATCAAGTGTAAGCCGTACACTGATATTTTAATTTTTCAATTTTTAGGTATTTTTTTTTTTAAAACTAGAATTTTATTAGCGTCACGACAAGTATACAAAAATATGATACGCAGTGAAGGTGTAAAGGTGCAGTATAAAAACACATCAGGTATAATCACAGATCATAGTTGCAACAAACTGAATCTCAACTCTTTTGGTAGATGCAAACTGGGAGGATGTTATAATAGTAATCAGGAGGTAATATATTTGTTACTTATTAAATCTCAATATATTATTTAATTATTTATTCATGGTACAAATATTTATGCAATTCTTTTAATACTTGATTTTATTTTTATAGGAGCCAAACACCAAAGTGTGTTCAAAATGTAATATTATTAAGTCAACAATATTATTTGTATTGGTAATGAGCAATTTATGTATACATATTTTAATTTAATTATTCTTTAGCAACAAACTTATTCATTAATTAAAAAAAAAATATACACCATTAAAAAAAATAAATATTATTAATGTACTTATAAGAATTTTAATTTTGTTATTAAAATATAATTTGATAGTATCAAATAAATACTAAAAAAAATTACACTTATATAAATATGCTTTTTTTAGTAAAATATACATAATTAAAGAATTTTGGCAGATAAAAAAATATCCAAAGTTGTATTACCATTTTGATGGTGGTGGTTTTTTTTGAAATTTGAAACTAATTTTTGTTATATTTTCGTTTTCTAGTTACTGGTTTCTGTCGACTAGGGTACAAATCTGGTTTCGGACGACCACCAAGATCATCGTACATTTCTTCATTTGAACTATTTGAAAAGACCATAGATTTTGATTCATAATTTGCACTTACCGATTTAGTAGTTAAAGGTGGTCTCATAAATCCAATTCGTCTTCGAGGACTTTTTGACATAAATATTTTGACCTTAACAAGAATATAATAATCAGGAAAAATATTTAAAAACGTGTTTAGTATTTCATAATTAATATATTATATATATATTTACACATTGTGATGATGATTGTTCTGTTTTGTTGTTTAAACTATGTGGCTTTAATTGAGCTTTTGGTTGTTCCATTGAGGAAACTGAATTTTTTGGAGAGTTTATAACTGTTTTTAAACCCTAGAAAATTGTTATTAAATTACTGATCAAAAATGATTGACAATTCAATCAACATATACATATTATCAATGTTATTAATCGAACCAAAACTTCTAGTTTTCTTATATTAAAAACAATGTTCTATTGAAATTTTACACTTTAATATACTTAAGTATTGAGTACACTTAAATAAATAATAGATATCACTTAATGTACTTTTTCTAAACTTGGAGTAATGGACAAATCAGAAGCTGGACTTTTGTATATTATTCTTTTACTTAATTTAGTTCTTCTTGGAGTATCACCATTTGCTTGCACTAGAGATCCTAAATTTTCACATTTATTTTGCAGTCTTACAATTTCTGCTTCAAGATCAGTAATTTCTGATTTCAATTTTCTGGAAAATAAGTTATTAGGCACTGTAAATGTATTTAAATGCATTCAAAAACTTAATATACACATGGCTGATCCTTAAGTAAGATTTATAATGATTCATTTTTAGTTACTTTTAAATTAATGTTTTAAAATTTAAAAATAACAATTTATTATAAGATTAAAATACTTAAACAAAATATTACATACTCCACTACTAGGGAATTCGAGGATTCTTTTGAATTTACATTGCACAAATGTCTTTTAAGTTCCATGTATTTAGTGACACGTTCTGAAAACTTAGTTTCCAAATCTCTGTTGCTCTCTTTTAAAGTCTGAATTTCTCTACAAAGCATTTGTTGAGTTATTAAATAATACACAATTTTTTAAATAATATATCATACTTTTTAAAAGAGGTTATAAGTGAACATAGAGTTTGAATATCAGTATTTTTTTTTAACAAAGATACAGCCTCTTGAGAATCCGCATCTGTTCCATATAATATACTGTTTATTCTGCAATTTAATTTAAATATTACATAAATTATTAATTTTTAACAAAAACAGTTCATAAGCACATTCAAACACATGCTCTGCTGTTCCTCCTGCACCTCACAGAAGTGGACATGACGAGCTAAGCTCAAACCTAAAAGAAAAACCCTCATATGCCGAAGCCACAGAGAACACTCCATCATCCGATCAACCTCTGAAAATCGTCACTAATTTCCTTAACGAGTTAAAATTAGTAATAAGCCCCCTCCTAACTGGTCTAACATGCCTAATAAACAAAATCCCACTCCTCATCACTCCCACTCCTTAATATAAATAACAAGCATCACACAAAAATGTAAATATTAGTTTATTATTGTAAGATCACTGTTACTTCTGTTAAACTTAAAATTATCAATTGTTAATCTATCCTCAGTAGGTACTTATGAAAATATTTTTATTTATTTTTTTAATTATCACTATAATCTGCTAAAACTAATTTGCAATTTGTCAAATATCACTAGATATAGATAGACTATGGCTAGGAATGTCTTATATAGCTATGTTTAATTAAAATGGAATAAAAAAAAAATTAATTTTTAACGGTATAATAAAAAGTTGTCTTACGATTGGTATTTTACCAAATCTTTTCTTAATTCTTCAGCTTCAAGTTTGTAGCAAGCAAATTGTTCACATTCAGATTGAAGATGACTTACATTTTCTCCTAAAATGGATACAGCATTTTGATGGCCTTGTGTTAGGACTCTCAAATCTTTGACTTGTTGCCTGTAAGTGTAAACATAATGAATACCTATATTATTTACAAAAAGTATAAATTAAATATTTGTCTTTACTTTAATGAAGCCAGTTTTTCTTTATATTTTTTGCTTATTGTTAACAAATTTTTTATTTCTTCTTTCTTCAGAGTATTTTCATATGTAAGTGATTGCACTTGATGTGTCAGTGAAGATATATCTTCTTTTATACTTAAATTTGAATTGTTCTGAATATATAATTTAATAATTTTCCTTTCGGTTACTTTTGACCGACATTGTGGACAAGTTTTCGATCTGAAAATTATAGAAGTAAAGCAATAGTTATACAATTTTAAGGAGGAATATTATGCGTACAACTGTGAATCATTATTTTATATACCATTATAATATACTTATAATTATTAGTTATAATATGCAGTAAATCAATATCATATGGTCATAGGCGCCCACAAAAAATTTTACTAAGGGGGAGGGAAAGTTTGCCTATACATTAAGCATAATATATTTTGTTAATTTGGTTTAACAGAATTTTATATAATGGTGACCTATTTTTCTTTGTATAACATTTCTATAACTTTCTATTTGTTATACAGTTATTTATCATACTATACTCTATTTAAATTAAGTTTCCAATAAGCCAGGGGGGTAATGCCTCCCTCCCACTACGGGTGCAAATGCATATGGTACCTTAAGCTGAAAAACAAACACCAAAAATAGTAGATAGGTGTCTGGAATACTCATAAAATTACAATTATAATATACTTTTTAAGGAATCACTGAATTTAAACTGTAGTAATACCTTTGAATCCATGTCATGAGACATTCGTGGTGGAAAACATGACCACAAGGTGTTGTACAAACTGATTCTGGATGAATTCCGGTGATATAATCGTCACATATTGAACAAGATGCTAACATTTTTGCTTGAAAAGGAAAATCAATGATTAAAATAATGTTTAACATAATATATATATTGTATATTAAACAAGACATTTAAGTACCAAATGGTGCTAATGGTAAGTATTCATGGGTCAAACATTTGGCATTTAAGTTTTATGCATAATGCCCTATTGCCGTAATACTAAATTTCATGGGACAATTATTTGCCTTTGAATCTATGAGTAATATAATTGAAATTTATACATAACAAATTAAATGTTATTGAATTATTTAGTTATTATGGATAGTAGTTAATTCGTTAAATTTATTGATAATTGTGTGACTAGTTATAATTTTTAAATTTTAGTGATCTAGTTTCAACAGAAAACATAAGGTAGTGTTCCAATAAGTAACTATACTCTGTTCAGCAAGAGACCGTGCAGCGCACTGACGAAAACTGGTTCCCAGACATAACACCCTGCTATTGATTTCGATAGCATGGCGACGTGGAGGGATGTTCATAATCGGCGTGCTCTCTCGCTGATCAGATTATAGGTACTAGGGCAGTAGTAACTGGACTAGTAGTTATATGATATATTATGAAAATTGAAATGAAAACTTATGAATAACTGATGGAATAAAACGAAAACTTATTATTGAATATTTTACAACTTAAATTATGTTTTTAAATGTATTTTGGTATTGTTCAGACTAATTTACATTATTTTACGAATGTTTATCCAGACAATTGGTGTAGTTCAAGTAATATGACTAACGAACTATAACTCTGGGAGACGGATACCGCCAATTCGCAAAACAAGTAATGCCTGTACCCACCCAAATTTAAATTTTTGTAATACGGCAGAACATAAGAACAAACACTCGCAACTTACAATAGATTTGCATCTATAAAATTGGTGATTGAATTAAATACCTGTTGGTTAACGAGTTTATAGTTTTGACGTTGCTACCTTTACAGATCTATATTGGTTCAAGTCTAACATCAAGACTTAATCCGATTCGTCACAATGGGCAGTGAGCACATGTCGCATTCTAGAAGTACGTTTAAGAGACGAGCGAGTCAGTGGTAAAAGAAGTTACGAGGCGATCCTTATGTGGCAGCGAGAAAAAAAACACTATCGTTTACTTAATTAATGTCCTAATTTTATTGAACGAGTTACGAGAACAAACATTGGTATTCAGTATTTCAGTCGGTGATTTATTTTTATGTTCACGGACATCACGGTTTGGGCACGGATATAGAATATAGATATACACTATACAGGTTATAACTTATATGATCCTATATAGTAGTATGCATATGCATAACAAAAGTGGTGAGGGAAAATGTTGGTTTCTAACAGCTGATCAACGATGAGAGAATAACTACTAGCGCTCCAATACATAATATTGTATATCAGCTATAACCACGATTATAAAGAACGTTCTTTATAATCGTGGCTATAACCACAGATATAGATAATAAACAAATAATTATTATTTATTATCTATATCTGTGCTATAACCATAGATATATATTATTAATAATATATATCTATGGCTATAACCAAGGTGGATCCACCTTGGCTTATAACGCCTATAACCACGGATATAGATACTACTATACTAGATATCTATATCCGTGCTATAACATATTAACATAGAACAATAATGATATATTTTGTTGTACCAAGAGAAATCACTATAATGCAAAAGCGCTAACTGCTCTTCTTGCTATAATGACATCGTTAATTTTAAGCGGGCCAAAAAAGAAGTTTCGTTGAGTAACCTGTATATCTTTAATCGTGATTTGGGGGAAGAAAAAAGTATTACATAAGAGAGGTAGACGTTGACATTAATCATAATATCACCATGATAGAAGCTAACATGAATATCACATTATCACCAACCTAGACACGAAACCAAATTACCAAAATAATAGTTTTATTATTAAAAAAAAATATTATTAATTAACCAGCCAGTAATAAAAACGATTTATATCACTACTATAATGGATGAAAAATATCATATCAGTTTGGTTTGGAATAAACAACAAATTACATTATCACCGTCCTCCGAATTTAAAAATATTAAAATTTTTAATATTATATTATTAGATACAAATACAATTTCACAACTGACTACTGAGTATAAATGTAAAATGTATAATATAATGACATCAATTTTCAATCATATTATGTACTTAGTTATTTATTAGGCAGTGGTATTTAGATTATGAGTCTTAACATAGTAACTAGTAAGACACAAGACACAAAGTAATAACATTAAACTATATATACTTATGTATTATTTATGTGTTTAGGTAGTTGCTGGTAACTGGTAAACATAATATAAAATAGTTAATTTTTTATTCATTATTGTTCTCCTAGAGTCTATAGTCTACAGGTCAACTTATCGAACTTAAATAAGCGATCTTACATATAACAATTAATTATTTGAATAATTAACAATGGATAATAAACTGTATAACTCTATTGGTTAATTCAATAATAATTTTCTTCACACACCAGTACACCACGTTTACGTTTACTTAAGTGTAATTTACATTTTCACACTAACCACGATCAACATCTCAAAAAAGTAATAATATTTTAGTATATAATAAATAATAATGAATATAACATTTAATATTTTATAAGATTTTTGCGTATAACAAGGCCGTAAAATTAAACAGTATTTATATAAGTTTTTAAATTGTATAATATATTAAACAATGTATATACCTATAGCACAAAACAGTTAACATACACATTAGTCACTAAACATTATAAAAGTAATGTAAACAATTTCAGAATCTGCAGTGGATATAGGCTATTATAGTTTAAGTGTTAAACAGTGTCATTGTTATTAGTATTATTATTATTATTATATTTAAATTTTTTTTTTTTTTTAGAAGAAAATATACAATCTATATCTTAGAGTTTAGACATAATAAGTATATGTGCGATAAGGGAAACAAACAATAGGGTGATATGCATACATTTGAAGAAAGAAGCCACCCACTGATGACACTTTCGTCTTGGTTTAATCATATGCGATTTAATTATATGTTAGTATTTATATTATATATTTAGTTATATCTTATATGTTATTATTTAAAATAATAAATCTCTGCACCATTTACGTTTAAGTCGCCTTGGAGGGCTACCTGGGATTGTGAGGGATGCTAAGTTTTTAATGAGTGGATTTGAATGAGAGGATAGACAGTTATGAAATATTTTATGAAAACGTTAGCTTCGTCATGAATAGTATTAAGTTACAATCTAAATGTAGGGTATGGTTTGATATGTATGGAGGTGCGTTAAATAATTTCCTTAAGGTCATATTTTGGAAAGCTTCAATCTTATTTAGGTTTGACTTTTTAGCATTTCCCCATAGCTGCAATCCGTATATGTCCAAATGGATTTTAATAAGGTTTTATACAAGAGAAGTTTGATAGGTATTAATAGGGGCTTTGTTACCAATTAAATTCTTAAGCATACGTAGCCGATTGTTTAGGGATGGTCTTTTTTCACGTATGTGTAGAGCCCAGGTTAAGCGTTGATCGAGGGTTAGACCAAGGTATTTTACTGAAGGAGATGATGGAATAGGGATGCCATAAAGTAGTACCCTTGGGCAAGATGCTTGTTTTAGTGTAAAAGTGGTGTGTACTGATTTATTTTGATTTACTTTAAATTTCCATTTGGTATACCATCTTTCCATCATGCCTAGATGGGTTTGCAAATATGCGGAGGCCAAAGATGGGTCTTCGTTAATCGAGATAATCACTTTATCATCCGCGTAGTCCTCGACATATTTAAATTTAAACTATGTTTTATTGTAAATCTACATATTTAATACCTATTATAATTATGTATATTTTACACTGTAATTTAAAATTAAATTGTAATTATATTCTGTTAGGTATATAAAGTTTATTATTAGGTATTCTGAATATTAATATATTATTCGTTTTAGAAAAATTTACATGCAAAGAATAATTTTGTATTGAAATATTCAAATTGTACTAATTAATAATTTAGTTATTTGTTGTATTAATCATAAGTTAAATATAAATATAAGTACTAAGTACTATATAAGTAAATAATATAAGCGTGAACATTATTACAGTTTAAATTGATTATAAATTATATAAAAATTAAAATATCGTGAAAAGCCAACGCAGGGCTTAAATTCGCAGGGCTTTAATTCACTCTAATAAAGCCCTGGCCTTAAATTAAAAGTACCTAACATTTAACGACACATGGTTGGTCCTGCCAAACATAAATTTGCTATGTTACGTGTGGTTTAGAGACAGAAAACAAATGGTGTGCTTATATTCTCTAAAGTTGGTTAAATAATCATGACATAAGTTTTTTTGCTAATAATGAAGTATGAATGCAGAAATTAAAACAAATTAATTAATTTGAATGTTTAACTTTTATCTTTTAATATTAGTATAGCCGTGTAGCCATGTATCCTTTCTTTTAATTGATATTATAATATTTGAGATAATATTTAAATATTTAATATATATATGTGTAATTAATTATATTCTTATCATGAATTTGATTAGTTTTTAAATAAAATAAATGATTTTTATCACCACTTTGGAATAATTTAGCTAAAAGCCTAAGACTATTAGCCATATCTCATAAGTTAAAAAGTAGTTTGTTGAACAGAATCAGTGTTAAATGAGTAGAGTACAATAAAAAAAAGGAAAATAGTAAGTACACAGTATTTTACGCATAATGATCTTATAAATCCATATAAAATTTAGTTATGTTATTTGTAACTTGTTAAGTATTATATATATATTATAATAATAAGTCGATTATTTACTTCTTCAGGGTAATAACATATGAGTTGTTAATGTACAAAATACAAATGAATAATAATGTTGAAGTTCTGTTACAAAAATATATTATTTAGGTTTATAGGTAGTTGCGTCAATAGGTAAAAACTCAAATGTAGTACCTACTACCTACTTTTTATATAATATACCTAATAGAATAATTATTAATTAGGAGTGAACCTGC